CCCCCCCCACACTCCCACTTTCTTCTCTCTCTTCATTTCATCTGCCGTTGTCCCCACCTAGCCCTCTTTCTTCCTTCATTCTCTTAATACATGATAATAGATACATCAAATTAATGAATTTATTAGTTTAAAAGTAATAAAATGAAATTAATCAAGTCTTTTATTAACAATATTAACAAATTTATTATTTCAAAGAATAATAAAATAAAATTAATTAAACATATATACACTCCTTGATTTCCGCTTATATTAAGAGATTTGATTAATTTAAATTTCTAGAATTAATTGTCCATGTATTCTGAAAATCCTCAATTACTCCTCTAATTAAGGAAATTGATTACAACCAATTAATTTAAATAGATAAAATGTGTATCTCGGTTTTAAAATTCGACAGATACATGTATCTCGCGGATTCAAACTCATGTATCCTAAGCATGAAATATGGTAGAGGAAGTAAGATTTGAAACTATCGGGAATCTTAGTAATTAAGACCTAAACTAGTGAGATTTATGTAGTTTGCCCGCCCTATATCTTATTCCTACAAAAAAAAATTGATGCAAGAAAATTGAGAGAGAAAGAATAGAAAAATGTGTGTTACCTTGATTAAATTTCCAACTAACAACCGAACCAACCTTTATAGTTTCACCTTCATGAATCTCAAAATGATTGAGCACGCTAGGGATTATGTTGGGTAGATGATGAGTGTTGGTATGAACAATATCATGAATCGAGTGTCCTTCACATTTTACCTCTATTGAAGCAATCAACTTGCCTTTAAGACCCATAGCTTCTTTCTCTTAGAGTAATAATAAGTTGTGAAAAGAAAGTGGTGAACAACTATTAAGAACTTGTAGCCTTTATATACATTTAATTAGCTATAAAAAGCTTGCTGGTATAAAGCATTGTCAACCACATATTTACATCACATGTTATTATCAAAGATTAGGGTTAATTCATTTTGGACCGCTACGAAAAATATTATTAGATTTTAAAATAGCATAATATAATTTGAAAAATTTCACTCAATTGAGTTTATCTAGCATATTGTTTGACAATAGTAGGATCACTATTTAAAATTGGTTAATTTTATCTTCCGTTACTCATTTTGTTCAAAAATATCGTCCTCCAACTAGCAAATAACTAAAAAAAAATTAAAAAAATACCATCCCTGCTAATGATTACTCCAAAACAAGGAGAATGAACCAATTTTGCCCTTCATTTCAAATTCCAGATAAGTGTTGTTAGTTATAAAGACTTGAACAAAAGTTTGTATGGGAAATTATGAGATTACTTGACTATTTTAAGTGGTAATTTTATATAATACGAATTTATGTAAATTAAATTTAATGACCAACATTATGTTTTAATTAAATATTTGTTTTACTAATTTCTTTCAAAACTATTAGAGTCTTGATTATAACATGATGACTTCAAGTTATCATAAGTAATATAACGTGTCAAGGAATAATTAAATTTGATTTTTTATCATATCATTTTTAGAGATATTAAATTATTATACATTATTATAAATCTAGAAAAATAATTTTGTAAATAGTAATGTAATAAAAGGTATGTTATTTTGTGTTCCAAAATAATAACTCATAAACAATGCATAAACAACAATAAGAAAAAAAGAAAAAATAAATAAATATATATATATATATCATGTATACAATAAGGACAATTTTATTTTTTTACTTGTTCATTTTGACAAATCAAGAAAGGGCAATTTTTTTTTATTACTTATTATACCCTCAATTAATTAATTTTGAAAAAGGTTGAACTTCTTGAGAATCTTAAATTTTTAATTCACACACTTCATAATTAATATGATATACTCACTATGTCAATCATTGTTTTCTTAATAGGTGTGTCAATTCAAAAGTTCACAAGTAATTAGGGACAGAGGAAGTACCATTTAATTAAATAAAATATCACTTATTTGAATAGAATAAAATACAATAATTAATGCCACGTGCATAAATTTATTTTCAATATACTGCCAAACTTTGAAATGTTTGAAATTGAATTTGATAGGTTATGCAATAAATGCTCAACTTCCCATAAAACTAAGAAAATAATATAAGCATGAAGAATGATCAAATCTATACATAAAATTTTTTGAAAGATAAGAGTATATGTCTAGCCTCAAATTTATAAGATAACCTTACTATAATATAAGACGATATAGCCTCAAATTTATAAGATAACCTTACTATAATATAGGACGATATAAAACATCGAAAATCACATAAATTATAACTTTTACTCTTCTTTATTTTTATTTTTATTTTTGATTCCATCCAGTGTTCAGAGCTCGTATTGAAACCCCGATAAATTTTAAATTGTGCATTTAGGAGTGGTCCTTCCAATAAAATTTTCTCATTTTAGTTAATAAATAGAGGATCTTTGTAAATAGTGAGATAAGAATCAAAGATTTTATTTGATTTTCTTGGCCAATTTTCTTTCCCTAGTATGGTAATACCTATTGGGTCCATCCTATTTCTTAAGAGAGAGAGAGAGAGGGGATGCCAATTCATTCTTTTAAAATAGGGCATAAGCTCAAATATATCATCGAATTTTTAAAATATTTCATTTATGTTATTCGTTAAAAGAAATATGAACATGAGAATGAGTTTGTCTGGCATGAGAAAATTCTGATGCAGGATGAACACTTGTTTTCAAAATGTAAAAGTAAATGTTCTTTTGTTGAGAGGACTTCAAAGTCCATTTGAGTGTTTTGAAAGGTGAAATATTTTTCTCAAAACATTTTTCTCTTGAGTGTAAATTCCCAATTTTTGTGCATTTCTGGCTCCACTTATATAGCTCAGAATCGTTAGGAACATGATTATGTGAATAGTAATAATACGCAACTATCAAAATCTAAAGAGAACTAAGCAAATTTTAAGCATGACATACAAATTATTATTTAGAAGTTGGCATACATGATATATGTATATTATTCAAATCTGACATTATTTATTTCACATGCTGGCTAAAATTAGCCAATATTGTCGAATATTCATCACCGAATTACAAACACACACACATACATAATGTATAGAACCATTGAACAATATAGATTTTCTATTTCTTGAGAAGGTGGCTTTCAATATCTTTGAGGCAATTAAGGAGAACACCCAAGTGAGTGAGGGGCTCTGGGGTATCTTCAGTTTTCTTTTCGTATAGAAGTGTGACTGTCGTCCACTGGTGTTCACTGGAAGTGATAACAGTGAAAGAATTATACAACTCTAACATATTTCCTCCAATTACTTTCCAAGTGATCGATTTCTTTTCAAGGTCGACGGATTCAACCACATCTTTAGAAAGTATTTCATTTCCACCTATAATTATTAAAATAAAAAAAATACAAGAGATATTACTCCTAATTAAAATATTTAAATCCTCATAAAAATATAAACATTCACAAAATAATATTCGATGCTGGGAGACTGAGCTAAGAAAAATCTATAAGAATTAAATTAAAATTAGATATTAAAATTTCTTTTTTTTTTGGTCTAGTATAGACGCGTTTATGCACATGACTTTTTAAATTTGTTTTTACCAAGTAATTAGTTAAGGGATGATAGGACCTCACAAAGGTTAAGTGTGTAATTGAAAATTTTACCAAAATTTCGGTGTGTTTCTATACCTTTTTCCTACCCGCACCAACCCCATCCGGCCCAAGCCTCGTAGGCCAAGGAATTTGAAGGGCTAGGGCGGGCTGGTCCTTCATTCAGAAGGGCCTAAAAATGCTCAACCCAACCCAACCCTAGAAGGGCCGAGGGCTGGGGCGGGCTAGCCCTTCTTTTTTTGTCATTTTTTTCCTTTTCAAACTTATAATTCTATAACATCAAGAAAATGAGAAGATTTTCAAATCAAATATGGCAAACAATGGTGTTGTTTTAATAACATTAGCAAAAAGTCTAGTATAATTAGTATGTATCTCGCATACCAGATACGTGAGCGAGATAAGAGAGTGACAAGCAAGATTGGAGGGAGGCGAGGGCACGAGATTTGTCTGTGCATCCTAGATACATGCGAATCTACTTGGATAGAGTGTATCTAGAACAGATTAACCTAATTTTGAGTCCATATATTCTGAGATATATGTATCTGGACGTACCAAAATCTGGTAAGATTCATAATATTACAACACAGCTTGTATTAAAATAATTAGATTATATACTGGTGAGATTTTTGTAAGTAACCCTTAAATAAAAAGTTTTGGCCCATGGGCCAACCCCGTCCCGATCAAGCCTCAAGGGTCAAGAGCTTATATGGGATGGACTTATAATTAAGCCTTTGTGTTAAATGGGTTTGAAAAATCCTATCCAACCCTACCCTAATAATGGGTTGGGTTGGGCCGGCCCCATGGGCTAAGCCCGTTTTGACGGCTATATATATATTACCTTAAAAGCATGAAGTTCTAACTTGAATGTTAAATTACTATAATATCCCTAACTTAGGTTGTGACTTTTTTGATAAGTTGTGACTTTTTTCAAAGAGTTGTGATTTTTCGATGAGTTGTGACTTTTCCAAAGAGTTGTGACTTTTTCAATAAGTTGTGACTTTTCCAAAGGGTTGTGACTTCTCGGAAAGGTCACTTTTTCGATGAGTTGTGACTTTTTCCAAAGGGTTGTGATTTTTCCAAAGAGTTGTGACTTTTCCAAAGGATTGTGACTTTTCCAAAGGATTGTGACTTTTCCAAAGGGTTGTGACTTCTCGGAAAGGTCATGACTTTTCAGATAAGACACAAAAAACACTTGTTCATACTACCCTTTGTTGACTATAAATAGAGGGACTTTCTCTCATTTTTGAATCACCATTTTTTTTAATCTCCTACTTTTCTTCTTGCATTTTAAAATTTTTTTTGTGTGATTTATTGTTGTTGAGTAAGTTTGAAGTTTAGTGGAACATGAGGTACCACTATACTGATGAAGTAAATTGTACTATCCTAAGAAGGTACATTCTATAACCCCGAGTACTTAAGGAAAATAATTTTAATGATATATATATATATATATATATATATATATATGCTTAATATATACATTAGTATGTAATGTTCTAATATATATGAAATTAACATGATGTAGTGTAAATTCATCTGTTTTTGTTAACAATTTCTCTTGTGATGTAAATATATGCTTCTGGACATCTTTTTTCAAAATTATTAAACTTCTCAAGAGTGAAAATATGTGAATATATATGAATCAATTTAAAAATTTATCAATTACAAATAAATTTTGATATTCAGTAATATGGAATAAATATTTTCATTTTGTCCCTACACTAAATTAAAATCTAATAACTATAAGAAAAAAATAGTAACATTAATTAAAAAGTCCTATTTTATTTTAATGTAAAAGTATAAAAATTTTATTAGAAAATACATCTATTGCACATTAATCATTTAGTTATAACATTACAAATTCTCTTAGTTATTACTAATTATCGCAAACGTTATTCACACACTTTAACATTCTTTAGTTATAATATTAGAAATTATCATAGTTATTATATTAAATATTTTTATCTTTCATATTTTCTTGTATTAACTTTCGAACAATATTTTTTTATATTATTACACTGCCCCAATATATGTGATAACACAATGTTGTTATTTTTCCTTGGATGAATCATGCTTGATTGAATAAATTAAAAATTGTTTACAAGTATATGAACTACATCTTTGTTGGGTGTAAGATAAACATGTGATTATATATATGATTTCACAGATAGAATATATTCTTTAATTTTAATTTTTAGTTTTTCCGGTAAAAAAAAAAGAAAATCTTTCTTTGTTAACCATGGA